AAGAAACCACTCAACTGTCTTTCAAAATGTCTGTGCCATTTGACATTCCTACCAGTAATTAATGAAGAGTTCCTGTTGCTCTGTATCTTCCCCAGCACTGGGTACTATCTGTGTTCTAGATTTTGGGTATTACAGTAGCAGTATATGACCATTGCTTTGATTGCATTGTTTTCTGATGTTTCTTTGCCACATGTATGTCTTCTTTGGTGAAGTATCTGTTCAGGTGTTTGACCCAGTTTTTAACCAACTTGTTTTTAACTGAGTTGTGAGATTCTAAAATATTTGTTGTAAAACTGTAAAATATTCCTATATTTTACAAATATTTGTATCTTTTGTGGACACTGTCTCCCAGGTTGTGGCTCATATCTTTTGCAGGGAATATTTTAAAAAAATAATAAGCCAAGCAAAGATTGAATCATGCCTCAGTTGTTCTATTTAAAAAGTCATCATGAAACTCTAAGTTGTCTATATGTTCTCTTGTGCTGTGTCCTAGGAATTTTTATAGTTTTACATTCAGATGCCTGGTTTATTTTAAGTTAGTTTTGGGGGAGTAGTATAAGGTTTGTATCTAGAATTTTTTTTCACACAATATGTAGTTGTTCTCACACCTTTTGCTGAAAAGACTCTTTTCTCCAACACATGCCTTTGTTCCTTTGTCAAAGATCAGTTGACTATCTTTGGATGGGATCTCTAGAGTTTACTGTATTCCATTGATCTATCTGCTTAATCCTTTGCCAATACAACATTCCTTTGATGAGTTTACCTTTATAGTAAGTTGTAAAATTAGGTAATATCAGTCTTCTAACTTTGTTCTTCAATAATGTGTTTACCAGCTAAAGTGGCTCATACCTGCAATTCACTACTTAGGAGTCATAGAGGGGGTGGAGGATCATGAAGGCCACTTGGGCTACATAGTAAGTTCCATGGAAGTCTGGGCTAGATCCCATCTCAAAACAACAACAACAACAAAGTGTTAGCTACCCTAAGTCTGTGACATTACTGTATAAAATTTTAAATTAGTAAATTCCTACAAAATAGCTCTCTGGAAGTCTCTCTGACATTGCATTAACTTTATAAATCAAGTTGGGACGTTGTGACAATATTGAGTGTTCCTGGCCATAAGTATGAAATCTCTTTCCTTTTATTTTCACTTTGATTTTTCATCCATTTTACAGTTTTCACCTAATAGATCTTATGTGTATTTTATTGCATTTATACCTAAGTAATTTCCCTTTTATTTTTTTATATTTATTTTGTATCTGAGTAATTTCTTTTTAGGTATTAATGCAAATCTTACTGTATTGCTAATTTCAAATTTCTGGTTAAACACTTATTTCTAGTTAAACAGAAAAGCCTTGAATTCAACAACTGTTTCTTGAGTCTCTAGATGTTCAAGGGACATGTGAGGTACAAACTAGATAGGATTTTACTCTTTGAGAGTTCATTCACTAATGACAGAATCTATTTCTTCCCACCTCTGAGTGTTCTGGCTAATTTAGAGCTTCCAAAAAGATAAGTTCCAGAGTGGAAGTCAAACTTCTTAGTTCTACTGCCAAGCCTCAATCTTGAACAATTTCACTGAGCCTCAGTTTCCTCAGAAAAGGGAATGGGAAAAAGAAAAGTATTATGAATTCCTCTCTGAGCTCACTTGAGTGATTCCAACTATGATTACAGAAAACAAAAAACAAACAAACAAAACACCAAAACTGGAGCCAGTAGTCAGTGGCTCATGCCTATAATCCTAGCTACTCAGTAAGCTGAGATCTGAGAATTACCATTCAGAGCCAGCCTGGATAGACAAACCCAACACTCTTAAATCCAATTAGACAGCTAAAAGCTGAAGTGAAGACAGCTCAAGTGGTTGAGAGTCAGCTGAAGGAGAAGGTGGAGCCTGGAGCTGAAGTCCCAGGTGTGTTAGCAAGACCAGAGGGGGCGGGAGCTGGAGAATGCCTGCTCTTCTTTAGCAATAACTTTGTCAGTATTGAGATCTGTAAGTATTACCATAAGATTGAAGCTGATCAATATGCCTATAAAACTTACAATTTATAATGATCAAAGTATCAAAGTTGAGCTTCTAAAAGAGTGTCTAACACTACATTCAAGTCCTTCTTCTATTGTTACTACCTTATAACTTTAATTCTTTATAGTTTAAGATGTTTGAAATACTTTCCAAGTGTGGCAGTGTATGCCTGTAATCGCAGCATTTAGTAGTTGAGGAGTTACAGGCAAGCCTGAGCTGTACAGTGAGCTTCCAGTCAGATTGGGCTATGTAGCAAGACTTGTTTCAAGATAACAATAGAAATTTAAAATACAGTATTAAATAATTTTATCTACTGTTCTGTGGTTACCAGCATTAACAATTAAGAGTAATAGCCTCTATAGAAATCTCATATTCATTTGAATTAATATTTCATATTAAGTGCTACCTACTATGGAGTTTTCCATATTACAGTTAAATCTGAAGTTGGTCTAGATGTAGTAGGTGGAAGAATCATAGAAATATCAATATCTCATATTGTTTTGAAGAATTTTACTTTGCTGATTTTACTTCAGTATTTTACCTTTTTTTAAACTAGCAGATTTTAAAAAAATCCTCTGACACAGCAATGAACTTTATTTTGACCAGACTCTATGTGCCTTAGGCTTCTTTATATTAGCATAGGCTACTTGAACCCACTTTGTGCTAAAACATAATAGCACAGAAGAGAAAAGAAATCAACCAAAAGAAAATTAGAACTGTACTACCTTGGTAACTTGCCCACAAAACGCATGACATTTCAACTGTCAAAGACAGTCCTATCCAACAGGAAAAAGTTATTCATTCACTACTTAACAAGTAGAGTGCCTAGAAAATGCCAAACACTATTCCAGAAGCTAGGGTTTATAGCATTGAGCAGATAGGGCAGCCCCAACCCTACTTTCTAATAGGAAGAGATAATATTAAGCTGTGATGGAATGCTGTGAAGAAAATAAAGTAGGACTGTGGATTGGCTTCAGACAGGAAAGGTCAGGAGGTAAAGTGATCACAAGGGCCTCTGTGGGTTGATGCCATTTGAGGTTAGCCCTAAGTGATGAGAAAACTTTACCCTTCATCCTGCAACTGTGGGGTGAGATGGGAATGAGTCAAGTTCATGTTGAAGAACCATCACAGGCAACTTGTGGGTGGGTACGGTAGGAAAAACTGGGAGAGAGCGAGGGAAAGAGTGACATTGCCCCAAAAGAAATGTACTCATTACCTGACTTATGTAACTGCAAACGCTTTACAATAACAATAAAAAAAAAAGATCACTGGGAGGAAAAAGAATTGAGGATTCATGAATGGAAATCTAGATTCCCTTTAGAATCTGTGCTTTAAAGAATTAAAAAACAACCCAGCAAAACCCCAAATCTAGTCTTTTAAGACTTTTGTCTATTTAAGGAGCCACTTATTTTTTAATATCCACTTGATTTTCACACTTCGTTAATTACTTCCCTGCCATTAAAGTAGACGCGTTCAGCAGAAAGATTCCTTCAAAAGTCTGACACCTCCCTCACTAGACTCCATCCAAATTCTGAATGAGACTGGACCCAGCCTTGCAGCCAATCAGCGCTCCTTCCACCAACTCATTAACCCAGCCAGGTGGAATTCTGTAGCCCTTCTAAAACAAAACAAACAACCAAATAAACGGGGGGGGGGGGGGAGGCTAAGATGGAGAACCTGACACAGTCAAAGTTACAGTATGAAGAAGGGGAGACCAACTCCCAGGGCCCTTTTGCCAGGAACTCTTTCCCACCCCTCCAGGCGTCATCACTGCAGGCGAAGGGCCGCTCAGCCGAGGTCGGAGGCACAGGGCGGGTAGGCGCGGGTGTATGTAACCCCGCATGAATCACCCGAGCCCCGTCCGCGGGGCGATGATGATTCATTCACCGCCCTGGAGCTCACCCGCCACACGTTCCGGGTGTACTACGAACGGCCGCTGGCTGCTTCCTTAATATTAAACAAATGTTTCAAAGTACAATCGCCTGGAGTCAGAAACCTATAGACCCAAGCGAGATGGCAGAGGGGAAACGGCAGGATTTGGCCGCCGCTGGAGTGTTCTCAGGGTTGGGGCGGTTGGGGGTGAGGGTGGGGGGGTGGCGAGGTACGCGGCGGTCCCTACCCCACTCCACCCCACCCCACCCGGGGCACGCTCGCAGGCGGGGCCCGCCGGGGCGCACAGGTGGGTCCCCTCCCCCCCCCCCCCCCCCCCGCCGCCCTGCCTGCCTCCTGCGGGCGCCCTGCCGCTCGCGGAAGGCCAACGCGCCCTCGCCGACGCGCCTCCCGCTCTCCCCTTTCCTCTCCGTTGACATCTTATATAATAACCCGAGCTAATCAAAACGGAAGCGACGCGCGCGGCCAGAGCCGATCTGCCGGCCAAGAACCGATGCTCACACCCCAAGCCTACGAGACCCCCCCCCCCCCCCGCACCCGGCCACCCCTCCAAAAACGAACTAGACTCCGGGACGCGCGGCTCCCGGGAGGGGGAAGGGCCCGAGCGCCTTCTCGACTCGTCCCTTCCACCCGCCGAGGCGCTGGCTGTGGCCGGTCCCCACCAGGAAGCCGCGAGCGTCACAAACTGCGTCAGCTCCTTCAAACACAGTGCACCGTCTCCCTCCAGCCCCGGGAGCCACCGCTCCCGTGCCGGGGCCGCGGCCCGAGCTGGGAGGCGCCCCTCTAGGGAGGAGAAAGTTCCTCCGGGGCCCTCCCCTTGCCCGCCACAGCGCCCGGCCCTGCCCGCGCCTCTAGTCCCCGATCTCCGCGCGCCGCCGGCCCGCGCCAATGTCAGGTCCGGCAACTTGGGACCCCCCTCCAAGCCTCCAGCGCGGCGCGGCGCCCCTCCGGCCCGCCAGGCTCGCCGGGCGTCCAGGGCCTCCCCGGCTCCCCTCCACCCACAGGCCAGCGGCAAACAGTCATGCCAGAAACTTCCTCCGGCCTCGCGGGGCCGAGCCGCCGCCTTGGTCCCCGCGCGCATCGCCCTTACCTTGCTCTCGAGAGGCCACGATCCGGGCGGGCCGCGCGGGGCGCGTGGTGCGTGAGCGCGCGCGCGCGTGGGGCGGTAGGTGAGGGAGGCCGTGCCGCCGGGGGCGGGGCGGGGCGGCGGGGTGCGAGCGGAGCGGGGTGCAGGGCAGGGCCCGGCGAGCGGGCAGGCGGGCCGGCGGGCGGGCGCGAGGAGAGCGGAGCCGGCGGTGATGATGGTGGTGGCGGCGGCGGTGGCGGCGGCGACGGGCGCGGGGCGAGCGCGCCAAGTGGGCGGAGGAGTTGCCGTGGGTTTGTTTACGCATTGCTGCCCGGCTCGGGGCACAGCCCGCACTCCCTGATTGGACACAAACTGGGGCACAGCCTCTCGCCGCCGCCGTCGGCCAGGCCTCCTGGAGCCGCTGCCGCGCCGCTCCCGGGAGCGCCTGCCGGGCACGGGCCCCTGGTGATAAGCTAGGCCTGGAGGGGACGAGCGCGGCGCCCCGTCCGGGGCCCGGCAAGGAGCCAAGCATTCGCGCTGGGTTCGCACTCGCCCACCTGTAGTGGTCCGACCTTGGCAAGGAGAAACTCGAAACTTCTCAGGCTTCCCACTATCGAACTGCAAAAGCCATTTCCCGCCCAACACACACACACACACACACACACACACACACACACACACACACACACACACACACACAGCTTGACCATCAATAGGTTAAAAAGAAAAAGCAGCTCAAAGATGAATATTATCCTTTGGTGAAGTCGAGGCTTTCTATATACCCTGCCATCGAGAGTTTGCCAATCCTTCCCTACCTCGTGCTTCTCTGCTTCTAATCGGTCTTCTCCACAGCACTCAAAGTTGCCTTCCCAGAAGTGACCTGACCACTGTTTTATTTTTGTCCCGTACTGGGGCTTGAACTCGGGGGTCTGGGAACTGTCTCTTCGCTTTTTCGCTCAAGGCTAGTGTTTTACAACTAGTGTCATAACTCCACTTCCAACTTTTGCCACTCTGATGCTGAATCTCCTCCCCTGAGTCTCCATGGCCTCAAGCTCCAATGCCTTAAGTTTCAGAGACCACCCCTCCCCCCCACCAGCTGGGCCTTCGCTTGCTTTTCATCCTTCTGCCAACTGCCTAACAGTCACCTCAAAGCTCCTGTCTACAAACAACACTTCCCTCACATGTCTGTGTCTTTTCACACTCTTCCAGTTGGAGCCCAGCTCTGTTCTTTGCTAGAAAACTCAGAACACAGCCCTCCCTGCACCTGAAACTCTCACTAGACTCAGCTCCTATACCATCTTCCATTTCTTCAGGACACCGGAGTAGAATCTCCCCCCTCCCTCTAGTACCCCCCACCCTCCGTGTTGCTGCCATCAATCTGATTTGGGTGTCAGTGATGTGACTACTATGTGCTTCACTAACCTGAAGATCTGTTAAGAAGAGGGACTTGGGTTTTAACCTAGCTTAAGCCACAGATGGGAAAAAGGAAAGCTGCTTCAGAACAATACTGCTTTGTCTCTCAGCGTCTGAAGCTCTGCTGGGACGGGAGGAATACAAGAATCTCTGTTAAGTGTCTGTCCTGATTGATATACACCATAAACCTCATCTTGCCCAAAGGAAGCATTTCCGAAAAGCAGGCCATCCCCTCCACTTTCCCTTTTCTCTCTACCCCCTGCCACACCTTACTATGTGCCTCATAATGGGCACTTAGCCCTGGCTTAGAGGAATAAAACTAAATTCGCCATGTTCCTTGCGGCTCAAAATGATCAAAGTGAATACAGTAAATCATGAAGGAATAGATATGAATTCAGTTATTTTACAGATATTATCTAGGATAAGCTCTTCAAGTCCTAGTAGCTAGTGTGGATTTGTTTGATCAAACACAATTTCTTATGGGCCCTTAACTCATGAGATGGCTGAATTTGTTTCTATGTATAAATGTCTGCCTGTTCCCCCACTGGGAAAGTGTCTTTGACCTAGGGAGGTGAATCCAAGTGAAAGTAAAGTTTTCTTTAGCAGATAATCCAACAGTGATTATTTAATGCCACCAATTAGTTACAAATGTGTTGAAAGAACTGGAAGTGCAGGTCAGAGTGAGGCAATCTTGAGATTAGCAACTGCTGGAAACATCTCCTCCCCCAGGGGCTGAAGGGAAAAAGAGAGGAAGCTGCCAGAATCCAAAAAGGCTTGTCCAGTGGGGAGCTGAAAAGATGAAGGAAGCATAGCTTCTCCTGGAGACTCCTTTTAAATCAGTGGCTAGAGGAGAAGTTCTTGGCTGCCTCCTTCCTTCCACCCTCCAGGGCTATCTCGTCACAGGAAGCAAGAGAAGCAATAAGAGTTAGACCAGAGAAAGGAGAAATCATTTGAATGCATAGTACCAAGTGGCTGGCATCCTGGTCTTGGGTGTAGCACTCAGTTGCTTCTGGGACTACTCCTCAAAGTCACGTTTTGCAGTACAGCCTTTTCTTCCTGAACCGAAACTTCCTTTGTCTTTTTCCCTGGTGCCTTTTCTCCTTCTATTCTTTTTTTCTTCTTCATGACTTCTTTACATTTCCTTTTTGTCTTCTCTCTTACCAGAGTTCTGGTGAGATCGTTCTTACTTGCTGGCATACAGCCTACCAGTTTCTCCTATCCATTCACAAGGCAGAAAGAGAGCAAGTAGAAGAGCGATTTGGGATTACTTTCCAAAATGCACTAATCCCATTCACAAGGGCTCCATTCTTAAGACATAATCACCTACTAAAGGTCCCACCCCCCTAACCATCACATTGGGGATTAGGATTCCTAAAGGTGAAATTGAAGTTTCACCATTCAGTTCATTATCAATATAAAAGCACAGTGTATAGTATATAGTCAGTACTCAGTCAGCAGAAATGAATATTAATATATACCTATGCCCACCCTGATGCATCCCCCCACATCATTCCATTTGTGAAAATATGGTGCTCCTCTACTTTGCTCTTTAAAGTTCTCTACTATTTTCAATGCCTTTACATTTCCTGATGTTTTCTCCTACCAGCTGTTTTCCCTCACCAGCCTCAGCAGCCATGGCATACTATGAAGTTCCAGAGGGAGGCAGGGAACATGAAAAAATAGCCATAGACATGTATTTCATTGTCAACCATCTAGCTTAAAAATTCTAATATAGTACAATTTTATTAATTTGAATTTCAGAGGGCCAAATATCATTGATGTAAGTGGATCTGAATAATCCATTGATACTCAGCCCAGGATCAACCTAAATTTTTAGTAGATCCTTGGTGGACTCAAAAGGGTACCAAGAAAAAGCCTTCTTAAATTTAGGGTGCCTAATCCATCCACAAAATTGTGGTGGAAGACAACAACATTTTCCCCTCTGCCCATTTTCTGGTGCTCTGCCAGTTGAATCACCGTTCAAACTCCCCCAATTCCATGATCTTCATACAGCCTGTTCTTTCTGTACTATAAGCATCTTAAGACAATGAACCTAAATGGAACTTTGATCTCAAAAACCCGTATCTAAGACAGGTTCCCAGGTGTTGAAATGACTGACTTGAGCAATGCTGTGAATTGGAAGGCATCCCTTGTTCCTGCCCATTCAAATCTTTTATCTCCTCAACTGAATGACCATAGATAGCTTTCATCCTATGTTAATTCACCAGAGATCATGACAACAGCTGAATGTAGAATAAATGCAATTTACAATAAAAAAGTACACTCAAAGAAGTTTGCTTCAGTGGTGCAAATCAAAACAGTATTTAAGAGGTCAGGAAGACTTTTTGTTTGTTTGAGCAGTTACTAGGCTTTCCTAAAACTTCACGTTTGCACCACATAATCCCAAGCTTTCTGCTCCAACAAAGCCTATTTGACTGTCATCATTATACATTTTGCTTTAGATTTCTTAGGCTAATTTTTAGACAGCCTTGCTTCTACATAGAGCTGTATTAATTATCCTGCCCAGGCCATTCCTATAAAAGGCACAATTTTACTAAACTTCTTTCAAAAACACAATGATTGTCCCATTTTTCTTCTTCTACTTCAAAGCCAAATTTATAATCCAATCCCTTAATCTCTAAAACTCTACCTTCCAAATTAATCCATACGATTAATTCTAGATTATCTTTTTGATTTGTGAATGAGGAAACAGTGGCATTAGCTAAGAAATGTTAGGGGTAGAATCTTGAGTTCTGAAGTAACTTATTCAATGTTCCATCTACTTATCTCATTTGTCTCAAAAACATACCTAAAGGTGGAGCCCCATTCCCCACTCTCTGACTTCTCAATTTCTGTCTGTCACCTCCATTCTGTTGTGATCATTTTGGGTTAAAATTGATAATCTTTTATTCTTCCTTCTCTTTAGACTTTCACTTACGGTTCAGTTTTTCCTCCCTTACTTGTCTTTTAAATCTGAACTAGATCATAATTCAGAGCAGTTTCTCTTTACAACTGTGTTGCTACAATAGGTTGTTAATGGTTTCACTGTCTCCAACCCCCACCATATAAAATGAACTTAGCAGAACCATCTTAACACAACTCAACTTTTTATAGTTATAATAAAACAGTGCCATTTTGCTATATAAAAATCAAATCTAACATACTTTTAGGCTATCAATAAAATATGAGTTTATGATTGTCAAGCCTTTCAGTTCTGAAATATATAGTTGTAGCTAGCTGTGTGACCTTGGGCACATTTTTCATTGAACTAGAATGTCCTCAGTGTGAACTGATGATATTAATGTACATGTGTCTACCTCAAAATAGTTTAAGAATTAAATGATATAATTAATGTGAAGTGCTCAAAATTATATACTATATTGGTATTATTATACTAGCATTATACTGGCATATATATATATATATATATATATATATATATATATATCAGTACTGGGGCTTGAACTCAGGCCTCTCACTCTTGCTTGGCTTCTACATTCAAGGCTGATGCCATGCCTCCTCAAGCCATACCTCTACTTCTGACTTTTTGCTGGCTAATTGGAGATAAGAGTCTTATGAACTTTTCTGCCCTCGCAGGCAGGCTTTGTTTTGGATCTGTTTGTTTTTTTTACCACAGACATTTCAACCTCAAAAGACAAATTTAGGAAAGGAAATCTTCCAGTGGCTTCCCAACAAATAGTTCTTTGGTCTTTACTACAGTGTTCTATTTCCTTCCCTTAGGCATGTTTTGCACCATAATCATCAAAAATCCTCTGGTTTAACTGTCTTCTGTCCTTTGATGATGAGAAAAAATAAAACAAAATACCCATTTCCTGGTTTTGAATTCCCTTTTTCAAGAGTTCTTCCTTAGCCCACTGTATTTCTGTATTGTATATGACACACATGCCTTCTCTGCTCCTGTTTTCCTCAAGTATGTGTGTGTATTTCTCCCCAAGCATCTGGTTATTTATGTTTGAACATCTGGTCTTTGTGATTCATAGCAGAAATTGACCTTGACCTTCTTAATAATGAGATTTTTATAGATCCTAGAATCATAAAATGTTAATGCCGGAAGGACGTTTGTAGATAACAGAGGCCAACAGATTCCTTTTATAGTGAGGATCCATGATCCAGAGAAGCCAAATGTCAGAAGCAAATTTCTGACAGCTAACCTTTGGTAAGAGGAAGCTAGAACCATACCCAACACTTCTGTTTCATTTGTTTCTTGAGTTAGATGGGGATGCTTGGAAATATTCATGTGAGGAATTCACAAAGTGTCTTCTATAAGTTTTCATACTAGTGCTATTCCTAGTACATTTGTAAGAGGCAAAGAGGGGTTAGAATTCCATGATTGAAAAAATTCAAACACAATGAGATATCCATTATAAAGATGTGACTATATTCTTTAATGACCGTTGTTCTGTTCCAGTGGTACTATGAACAGTGCCTGGTGCACAGTAAATTCTCAACAATGTTTATGACAATGATGGTAAATGATGATTGGGGCCTCATACTATTCTGCTCTCAATCTTTTCCTATTATTTTGTTCTCTATAATCACAGTGCTGTTTCAGTGTTTCAAGTCTTCTAGAACCCTGACACATCAAGTGTAGGGTTCTTTATGAGGGCATGGGTGGGTATTCAGCAGCTGTCTTTTCTGGTAATGACAAGGGTGATAACTTTGAATGGTTGCAGATCCCCTCCTGAGCACATAGACATATTTTTAAACCTTTCTAAACTGGAGGAAGTGTATTCCTAAAATTTAAGCAGTTATTGTATAAATGAAGCATATTTTAGCTAGGTAGTTTGGAAAATACTGGATGAAACAAAATTAAGTGGTGATTTTCTTGTTGCTTTATTTTATTTTTAAAAAAGTAAGAACGTTCAGGATTTTTCCAACAATAATGCGAATTCTAAATTTCTAAAGGAGAAAGGTGATAAAATATAAAGACGTCTCTAAACATATTTGACCATAAAATCAGCTATTAGTTGGCCACCTTTCTAATAGAATTAGGATTGGTGTAACATGGAACTAACTTTGAGAAATGCTCAATATAATTTGGGTTTCAATTAGGTAAAGTACATACTCAATAATTCTAAACTTGTCTTTTCAAATGATAAAATACCTTTTCCTAGGGCAGAATCTCCCCCTTATTCACACTAGTGTAATTGCTAAATATGTTTCCCTTTCATATCCTTTCAAGACTTAGGTGCTGTTCCTTCTTAGCCTGAATTTGTTCAGACAGAAAAATCATTGGTTAAGTCTGACTTCATATGTGAGCTGCTGAATTCCCATAATCATTTCAGCTGCCCTAATCATGAAGTTTTCAAGGTATAGAGTAAAAAAAAGTTAATTATAGCAATACAAACTAACTTTTGTTGAGTGTGCACTGGGGACAATATATTGTGTTAACAGCTTTACATGTAATATCCTATGCTGCTCTCACTACAACTCTATGTAGCAGTCATTATTAATATTCCCATGTTCCATACAAGGAAACTTTAGAATTTAAGTAATTGTGCCCAAGAAGGTTCCACACGAAGGGGTAATGGGGTGGTAGTGGCAGGATTGGAGCTGGTACCAGAACCTATGTTTAACCCTTAATGATTACCTAGCACTGCTATTTCAGTGTTGGTTCTGTTTTTCTCCTCCTCAACCAGCATCCTGTAAGAACAAAGGCCTCTGGGTCCAACCTTCAATAGTTTGGCCTCGCACCTGATACACTGTTACCAATGCTCATTTAAAAGAGTCCAAACCATGCAAGTTTTGAACCTACATCCATCAAACACATGGAATTTTCATCGATGTGCCAGGTGAGTTCAAGCTCCTTCCTCTTGCAAATCACCCCTCAGTGGCTTTTGAGCATCCTAAGTAAGTAATCTTGTCCATTCTTCATTCATCTTAACAGACAATGGTCCTGGCCCTGGCCCTGGAAACCGAATTTACCTGTAAATAGCAAATGCTTTAGAAAGCACTGTTGTTGTCTTTGCTAGTTTTATTGGCACTAGTTGGACAGACTCTTGACCTTTGGGAACCCTTTCAGGCCTTAAGATCTTTCGATATAAAACAAAAATGCAACAAGCAAACTAAAACAAAGAAGTCACATAGCCGCAGGGGATGGGGGGGTCAAGCGGAGCTGGGGGTCTCCCTGCCCCCCTGGTTGCCATGCGACGTCTGTGACCTCACGCGCGCGTCTCCAGCGCCCAGCGAGCAAGTCGGTTATGAGCGCCAGTCAGTCTTTTAGGCTATCAAAGGGCATTTATGAGATAAATGTGACCACCTCCCAGCCGGGGGCTCTTGGATCTATAGTGGAGGCTATGCCCCAGTCCCCCAGCCAAGAATGACCAAAATCCCTGTGAGTTGCTGGGTCGTGGTTGGCTGGATGCTGCCTGGGAAGGACTTTGGCAACAGTATCTCTCTCTGTGACCTTGGCCTCCGCAGCAGTCAGGCCCAGCAGCCGCCCCAGCACCCAGGCCAGCGGGACCTTGTTTTCCTCACATGGGTTTCCTCTAAACATCATCATGTGGGGGCAAAATATTGCTGCTGAGAACTCGCACAGGAATGCCCGGATGTCTCCGTACCCTGGCTCTAAGGTGGTGCGATGCCATGTCCCCAACGAGAAAGTGAGCTGGCTGGTTGAGTGGAGAGAGTACAACCCGGTGGAATACACGGCCAGCTTGGTCTTGGCCAGGCCTCAGTGGGCAGATCCACAGCTGGGCGAAAGAAACTTCTGTCCGAGATTTAACGAAAGGGATGGCAATGTGGAGAGAAGGAGCCAGGAAGGCTTTTATGAGGTTAGAAATGGTAGACCGAAAAATCCCGTAGGTAGGACAGGGATGTCTGGCCGAGGGATTTTGGGGCGCTGGGGTCCCAATCATGCCCTTGAGCCCATTGTCACCCGGTGGAAAAGGGATAGCATGGGAAACACAGTGACCCATCCTGTGTCGAGGAAAAATATTCTGCAGTTCGTGGCCATTAAAAGGAAGGACTGTGGGAAATGGGCAATTCCGGGGGGGATGATGGATCCAGGAGAGAGCACCAGCATCACCCTGAGGAGAGAATTCGGCGCCGAAGCCACGAACTCTCTACGCAAGTCGAAGGCGGAGAGGCAGATGCTGGAGAAACAGTTACACAGACTCTTCAGCCAGGATCAGTTTGTAATCTATAACGGCTACGTGGATGATCCTCGGAACACGGACAACGCGTGGATGGAGACGGAGGCGGTGAACTACCACGATGAAACAGGTGAAATAACGTGCCATCTTCCCCTCAAGGCTGGCGATGACGCCAAGGAGGCGAAGTGGGTAGACATTTTTGACACACTCAAGCTTTACGCCAGCCATTGGCAATTCATTCAATTCGTGGCTGAGAAGCGAGGTGCCCACTGGAAGGAGGAGCATTACCATGGGCATCAGAGATAGATCTTGGAGTGTCATGGAAGCCAAATGAACCAGGGTGGATTAAAAAAAAATAGTTTAGAACCTCTGCTAAACAGCTCTCAAACTGTGCACAGTATGAAACCTTGGTTATCAATGAAGAATATTAGACAAATATGGAAGAATGGGGTCACAAACGTTTTGGCTTTCCAATTAAAGAATATCATCACATATTGTATATGTCGTATACATGGTTTAGAACAATTTAAACAGTTAATTGTGGGTAAAACAGAGATGTTATTCTTATGCCACTATTTCTCATCAAATTTGCATTTGTCAGTTCTGACAACTTGCAATGAGACCTCCTCCAACATAAAAATCTGAATTTGGGGGTTCCATTTGTTTTTCAAATTTAGCCTTAGGTAGTTTTTCTGTTTGTTACCCTGTGAGCAAAGAAGCTATCTGGCTAGTCTCACTTTTAATACCTTCAGCTTATGAGAAACCTTCCATCTCTATTTTTAGTCCATAAAGATCAAGTATTAGCCAGACCAAAAAATATATATACAGCAATAAAATAAGCTGGTCTTCTGTTTATCAGAACTGTTTCTGTCTGAAGAGAATGGACTAAGTCGGGACATTGGTTCCTTCTTATCTCAGAAAAAAAAGGTGCCCCAAAGGCAGATTACTAAATGTTATTCATTCCTACTTTTTAATAATAATAATAACCAAAAGTCCAAATAGAGAAAATTGCTAATGCAGAGATGTCAGGTTGCCCTCTGATGCCAAGAATGAGGAGATTCCAATAGCAACAGACAGGCTCCAAATGTTTTTTTCTTATTACCTAAAACAAGCCAGTTAATTTTACTTATAACACATGGAAAAAATAACAAACTACCACAGTGACCCGTTGTGGCTTAGGGGAAAAAAGACTATTGGAGCTAGGTGCTGGTGGCTCACTCCTATAATCCTAGCTACTCAGGAAGCTGAGCTCTTAAGAATTTCAGTCTGAAGCCATCCCAGACAGGAAAGACCATGACTCCAATTAACCACCAAAAAGCCAGAAGTGGAAGTGTGACTCAAGTGGTAGAGCACTAGCCTGAGGAAAAAAGGCTCAGGAACAGCACTCAGGTCCCAAGTTCAAGCCCCAGGACTGTCACACACAAAAAAGACTTTCAGGATATGAAGATCACCTTGGTAATAATGCTTATATTACTCTCCCTATGTGTGAGCAATTTTTCAGTATTTTATGTATGGCTATTTATTGCTAAGGCTCTATAAGGAGGGCACATTGTTCATAGTTGTCCATGCTCAGAAGCAATACTCCCTTTTTCCTTGTGTATTCTACCACTACTTGTATTTAGGATATAACCATTTGTCATATATATATATATATATATATATATATATACATATATACACATATATATTTCATCTCAGTAACTTTTGCAGGTAATGTACTAGTTTCTATTTGAGTAATTCAGGTACCTTTTGGTATACATTTTTAAAATGTACAATTCTAAAAAATAACCTGAATATTATATAATCATTGGAAAAAACAAGAAGAAACAAAATTCTAAAAGTCTCAAATTTAATATATTTGGAATAGAATTCTTTATTTTCCCCCAAGATAACGATTTCTTTTTCACTGTTACCTGGAAAAGAGAACCAAAATCCACCCATGTTGGACAAGAAAACATAGAATTACTCTGATTCCTTTTCTTTCCCTCAGCTCCCACATCCAGTCCATCTATAGAATTCAATTGCTTCTCCAGCAAACAGTATCCAGACTCATTCTCTGCTTTCTATCTTCATTGGCCACCCTAATCAAACACCATCCCTCCTGTAGGCATATACCTCACACCATACCTGTCACCATTGTAATTCTTCATGTCATTTCTCATCAAACATGAAGTAACATTTTTGAGCCTTATTTACCATCCATCCCTCTTAAAGCCATTCAACTGCTTTCCTTGTACACAAAACATAAACTTTTTGTGCTGACCTATTCTGCCTGATGCTCCAGTCTGACCAGGTAATATTCCACACTCTACTAGGCTGGCTTTTTTTTCCCTTTGGCACACTTCATGCTTGCTTCTGCCCCAGAGCCTTTGCTTTGATTTTCCTTGCCTAAATTGTCTATTCTCTTTATAATGTTGACTCCTTGAATTGTTCTAGTTTCATTCAAATAACACTTCCTGAAAGATAAGTTTTGTGATCAGCTAATGTAGAGTAGTCCACGCAGTCTGCTTTTACATTCTTATCCAGTTTTATTTGCCAATACTACTTAGTACCAGATGATATTGTACATATTTTCTGTCTACCTTTTAAGAGAGCCTATAAGAGTAAGGATTTTTCTCTCTTGCAGACTATTGCTCCTAAATCAAAATAGTATCTGGCTTGCCAACAAATTATTTTTGGAAAATAAATGCTCTTAAAAGTTTTCAAACTTTTCTTAAAAATTATAAATGCAATCACATCACACTTAGCTTATTTAAAAAACTATTTTGAAATAATTTCAGAGTTTAAAAATAGTACACAAAGTACTTGTATAACACTTGACCTTGCTTTGCCTAGGGTTGACAAAAGACAGTTCTTGGAACCAGAAAATTAATATCGACTTAATTCTTTTTACTATCAAGTACTCAACAGAATTTATTCAAAAAGTCCTAGAACTTCTACTAATGTCTTTTCTAAAACACAAAGATTCTATATCTCATTTAATTCTACATCTCATTTAACTATCATGTTTTACCTGCTCCAGTCTTTCTTTCAAAATCTTGACATTTTTGAGGCTCCTGGCATGTTATTTTTATTAGAATTTGTCACTATTTTCAGAAGCTGGTAGTCCTATAAGAAGATCACCTTCGCAGTAACAGCTAACACTTGCATTGCCCTTCTTACAAGAGCGTTTTCAGCACTTTACAACACTTATTCCTAACGTTCATCCTATGAAGATGATTTTTCTGACATTTTCTCAGGAATAGATTGAGATTCCATATTTTTTCCAAGATTACTATGGACATATTACTTGATTGAATTTTCAAATTGCAAAAAAGTAAAATTTTCAGTGCAATTGCTTCTAGATACCAAATAATATATGCTGTATTTAAAAAATAACATTGAACTGGTTAAACTTCCAACCAATTTGTAGTAGTAGTAGTAGTAGTAGTAGTAGTAGTAGTTGTTCCTCCTCCTCCTCCTCTTCCTCCTCCTCCTCTGGGAGTTTTAAGGATTGAAGCCGGAGCCTCATACTCGATCGCTGAGTACTCTTGTCACTTGAGCCATGCCCCTGGACATTCTTGCTTTACTTATTTTGGGAATAGTGTCTCATGTTTTTTTTTCCAAGATTAGCCTGAACCATGATCTTTCTATTTATGCTTTTCATATAGCTTGTATGGTAGGTACGTGCCATCATACCCAGCTGTTAGTTGAGATGGACTCTTGGTAACTTTTTTCCCAGGCTGTCCTCAAACTATAATTCTTCTGAACTCCTCATAATGAGTAGCTGGGATTATAGATATAACTCACCAGGCCCAGCCACTACTTTTTATTATTTTTTAATCAGGATTTTATGTATATATGCACACACAATTGAATATGTGTATATATAACTCTCTTAATCTTTTTGGCTAAGAGACTCTAACATTCAATGTTTTATTCTCTCATCTTTTCCTTCTAGTACCTACATACAATTGAATGCTTATTTTATCAGCTGCTTATTATATGTGCAAGCATGAATACATGTGTGCATGTGCACACATACACGTGTACACACAAATGAAAATATAGCCCCAGCTAATCTGAGCAAAAACATACCCCAAATAATGAAAGTAAAACGGTCTAGGTGTGTGGATCAATACTGCAAATAACCCCAAAACATAGAGACTTAGACAACAAATATATAATTCTTTCGTTTAAAGATTGACAGGGATGAGTTTGAATGGTGATTTTTTCTGGTCAAAACTGGGTTCATTCACGTCTGAGAACTGGTTATTGGCGGAACTAGGATGACCTGTTCATCTCTGACTGGATGAAGAGAACCTTCCCTGTGCCACCTATTTCTCATGCTCTGTCATGCTAATCAGGCTTCTTATGGCAATGGCAGAGGAACAAAGGTCAAGTGGAAACATGCAAAAGTTCTTGAGTCTACTAGGCTTGGGTCCCAGGCACCAGATCACTTCCCTACTTCCTATTGAAAAAAAAAAAAGTCAAAAGTTCAACCCAGATGCAGTGGGTGGAAAATGACTCCACCTCCTTAGTGAGAGACAATGGGAAGCTACCTGGCAAAGGTCAGGGGTGCAGATGGCTAAAGAATTGAGGCCATTTGTACACACAATCATTAGCTGTGCTTTTTCTTTCCTATGAACTTTATTAAGCTATACTTCACATGTCACATAAGTTGCTTATTTAAAATGTACAATTCAATGATTTTTAAAGAGTTGTATAACAAATAGCACAGTCATTTTTAGAATGTTTTCATCACCACATAAAGAAGCTTAGGTCTCATGAATAGTCATTCCCTTTGCAAACCTGATGCTACCTCTTGGAGTGGGGTTTGGAGGAACATATACATCCACACTGTAGCAGATATTTATGTATTTATCAGATAATCTGTGGCTCTTGTTCTCCTTCCCTGCACTTTGAATGTACTGAATATTATTTTGAAACAAATCTGTGCTGCTTTTCAGGGTATTTTAGAAAAATTAATGGCAAGCACTGAATTTAATGCAAATTAATTGTATTTCTCATCAGAAGAAGTTGTTTCATCAAAGGAGTATTCTTTTACTAGTATTTCTGGCATATGAGGGCCTTTTAAATTTTTTTAGGTTGCTTTTGGGAGAGAAGATATTACAGCTACTTGCAGTTTAATAAAGGAAAATTCTTTTATGGCTTCTCAGTTTGGAATGATGTCAGACTGTGCTAGGAAGACTGTAGGAAGAATCTTATATTTAAGGCTTATGTAATCTTGGTGTTTTTAGTGTTATCTTAGATTCTAAGGTAGCATAGATTCCCAGGTACAAGTTTTATTACAGAGAGATACTATT